TGTAGCTCCTCATCTCTGAAAGGTTGCTTGGTATTTGTTAATTAACAGAAATGTCCTTAATACTGGCAATGAGATGAATGTGAGAGTCTAAATAAATGGTACTCAATATCCAGAGACCTTTACTTTTTTAAACTGTGTTTGGAAGAGATGCATAACTGTCAAAGGACCTGCCTGACCATGTATATCGATGGGTTTATGCATAGTCTCTGCTTGTTGCTGAGAGTTCATGAGGCTCTCATGAGACTACAGTATAAGGAAAACCATTGATGTACCAACACAAAAAATCAAATAGTCCAATAACAAACACAAGGAGCAGCAGCTACCATTAGCAAAGTAACCAAAGAGAGCAATTGTAAACCTTGTTACTGAACAGAAGGACTTATGGAAGAGTGAAAATAATAGTTTCTAGTGAATATAGGTATATTGATGTGGATAGGAAGTAGCTCCTGCCAGGACTTGTCACCAATTACTTTCCCCCATGCTGTAAGGGGGAACGCTATTGCTCTACTTAATTATTCAGCACTGATTTTGCCCTTCCCCGGTTTCCTCAGAAAGAGCTTAGAAATACAAACCCTTTCTATAATAGCTGTGTATACAATTATTTAAAGAAGCTGTCAGCACTTGGTATGATTTCTACATGGGCAGTTTTTGAGATACAGTGCTAAATACATTGTTCTTGTTCAGGTTTTCATCTCCAATTTGGGGAAAAAAAAAAAAGATAATAAGCAGCTATTCTGATCACATACGTCAGAAACCTTGTACATTTGATGACAGCAACATTTTGTGTCCTCTCTAAGCCTACTTTACCTCTCATGTCAAATACCATGATACAGCCATGTAAGCAAATTCAAAGCATATTATCAATTAATCACTTTTTCAAAATTCTTGGTCATCTGGGTAGTTTATGGAGTTTGTAATCTTTGATGGGACTATCCTGAGCATGTAATACTTCAGAGTTGCCTCCTGAAAATGTCTAGTAGTTCAAAGAATATAAACACCAAGGGGGATGAAGGAAAGTTGATTTTAAAATGTATTTGAACATTTCCAGAATATATTTTTCAACATTTCTTTATCTTTAATAATAGCACATTTATTCAAAACACTGGAATCAAATGGTACAGCATGATGTTCTGTTTCTTTATTTTGTAGACTATCCAGATTGGTTTACCATGCTAATTTTGTAAAAATTTATGTATTAGTATATGAGAAAAAAATAGCGACTAAAGACATAGATTCATGCAACATATATTCTAACAAGGTTTGCTAGTGCAAGTAGCAGTGTCCTGGAATTCCAATTACTGACCGCTTTTGTCCAATGGAATTGTGTCTTACAATTATTAAGCTTGTTGATTACCTGCTAAGCGATAATGGACACTTCCCACATAATGTGAAATTAAAGACAGAAACTCAAGGCTTCCATGAGTCCATATAGCTAGCTTCCCAGTGACAAGGGAAGCAGAGAATTGAAGTAAAACAAATTGATAAAAAGATTAAAACAAAGCCTGTACTTGTTTGTGAGAGATAAAACAGTAAAAAATTCTTAAATATTCTGTATTTTGGTATATGTACATCCTTCAAGTTTGTGCGTTGGCTAAGTGTAACTGGTACAAGTATATAAAAGTTCTGTGTAATAACTTCATTTGAAGATATAATTGGATTCCACAAAATTTTTATTAAAATCAGAAAAATCACCTGTGATATTATTTTTAGGCATTGAGGGATTGATAGAACAAGTATCAACAGCAAAGGGAATGCTTAACAGACAAGGCCAAAATTTAAACAAAAGCAAAGTCATGGCAATATATGAACAAAACCAAATACCAGAAGGATATTAAAATTTCCATGGAAGTGTTCATTGGAAAATGCTGAATTCCCAAAGACTTTAAAATGAAAAACTAAGTAAAATTAATCCTTATGAAACAATACTGTGTAAAACGCTGTTAAGCCTACATGAAATCAAAAAAAGTATCCAAACAAACACTTCTCTAGCTTTTATTGATGGTGCTTGAGACATGCTTTCTCTGAATGTTAGTATACTGCAATGATGTAATAAAAGTACCTTTCACCACTCTTCACAGGAAGGCTATATAAAATGGGCAAGTAACATTTTATGAAATATTTACAATGCAGTTCACATGAAAGCCGGGCAGTAAAAGACTATCTGACAGTAATCAAGAAGGTGCAGTGAAAGCATTCTGAAATTCAGAGCTGAACTGTGCTTTCCAGAAACTCCGTGTTCCTGTACTTTGTCTCCCAAGGAAACCCCCTCTAAACCAGACCAGTGCTCTGGGCTTCTCGCTGAGGTCTGTACTAGACACTTGAGGATGCTTGGGATGCTATTGTTGGTACAAACATCACAAGTGATGAAAGGTGTTTACTTAAATGCCCATCAGCATTTATGTACATTTTGTTCTTAATCCATGCCTTTGATAGTGCACAAAACTCATCCACAGCAAGAATATCAGAATATGGAAATTTGTTCTAGATTTCCCTCCAGGGATGTGAACTACTTTGAACTCCAGGGGACTGTACTGTGATGGAAAAAAATCTCCAAGTTTCTGTTGTTTTAGGCCACTAATCCTATGTGGTGTCATGACTCAGATAACTGGATACTTTTCCTTTGTCATAAATAAGAGACATGCTTTTTCTCCACTGTATTTGCTCTCTTACTAATACATATTCTACTTCCTGTGTTACTGTCAAAAATATTATAATGCAGTGTTTTAAGAGAGTAGGTTATTCACTCACCGGGGATATGGAAATCTTGGTAATTTTAGAAGGCATGTTTAATAAAATTGCATCATTGGCACAGACCTTTTTGTGATATTATACTGTGTTTATTAGACAGAGAAAATATTTTTGCACTAGGATCATAAGCCAGAAATTGATTTCCAAAGTAGCCGGGTGCCTAGTTTGCTTCGATATCTCGAAAATCCCACTAGGCCTCTGTTTGCACCTTTTGGCACCTAAGTACCCCCCAAAATCTGGCTCAAGAGTTATTACAGTAACATGAAGGAATAATAACTTATGTTTTTCATGCCAGAAGGATTTTACTGGCACTGAGCATCTTGATGTTACACTGGGGGAAATTATATTTACATGTTTGAGAGCACTGAATTAATTATGACATAAAATAAGATTTTGTTTAACATATGTAAAGAATCTGTTCTCAAATACATTATTCCTTGTAGGGCTTGATATAAAGTAAAACATTTTAGCAAGCCTAGGAACGCTGTAAAGAGGGAGATGGCCAGCGTTCAATAGTTGAGTAGTATTCTGGAAAACAGACACGAATCAGATTTCTCAGCCTTAATGCCAGACCCATCGCTATTAATACTTTTTTTCTTCCTTGCTGATATTCTTTTACTTAAGCCTCTTGAATTCTGCTTGTCCATTTTCCAGTTCCTATGAAAATATCTCATATAATTTCAAAATAAGCTTGAAATGATTTATTTTGACAATTTTAATGTTATGAATCAGAAAGAGGAATAGATATTTTGGCTTCTGGGTTATCCTTAGGCAAGGGAAGAAATGAATGGAGTCTAGTCTATGTACTGAACTATGTATATATTTTCTTCATGGCCTCAGGAAGACCCCAGAGCTGAAAGCTCTTTATTAATTTTTGATGGTTATTTTCTATTCTGATGAAAACTGTTTCTTTATATCTGTGATAATACAGTTGAAGCAGCAAGAGCTATAAGGCTGGGGAAATGTCAGTAATACTTCTATAATTTAATTTTAAACTCATGGACGTAATTGCAGGAAAAAGGTTTTGACTCATCTTTCCATAACTCAGGTTGTATATCCATCCCTGATAAAATGCCTGAAAATAAAATTGATAGATCTGACTTAAGCAGGATTTTTCCACCTTGCTTCCTCTCCTGAACATGAGCAATGAGATTTGCAAGATATAACATTTCTGACATATTCTGAAGGACTGGTAAAATCCAAATTCTCTGCTAAACTAAAAATAAAAATCCAACTTGACATGGAAATGGGGATATTTACCACTGAAGTAGATTTGTGTTGAAATGCTGTAAACCTGGTTGTTTGCACTCACTTTGCTCTGATGGTAACTCAGGGTGATACCTGACTGGATCCAACACAACGTCTGCAACAAATTTTAGCTTAGCTTTCTGATGACCAATACCCTACCCTCTAGGAGAGGATGGTACATAGCGTCCATAATCTCCTCTGTAGTTGTTTGGAGGTCACTGGGTGTTTAAAAGCAAGGAGGTAGTTACCTTTTCCCTACTCTACCTGCTACATGCATCAGTACGTTCCAAGGCAAATAGTAGAAAGCAATTTTGTCAATGGACCCCAAAGGTAAATTTAAACATATCTCTAATGCTTTTTCTTTTTCTTTCATTGCTTTAGTATCAAAACAGCAAAGAATTTCTTTTATTGTAAATTTAATTTCAAAAGCTTATTTTTTGTTTGCTCTCTTAAAAAACCTCTATCATTTTTTAATCAAATTAATTGCACAGAAGTAGCAAGTGTACAGGCTATTCTACAACATATTTGTATACTGTTATTTAGTTGTATTCTAAGACATAGTTCCTAGCTAACAGTAGGAAGAATTTATTATTATTTTTTTTTTAATAAATTGAAAATTACTGTGTCCTGCAATTTGTAAAACTGAGATTTGGAAAAGATTTGAAAGCAGAAATTGATGGAACTGGGCCATTAAACCAGCTGAAGACCTGGTTGATATATTGAGATAATTTTGCTATGATCAATATTATTTAGATAAAGTCTTTATAGGTAATGGCTGGTTTAGGGAATAAAAGCTTATTTGCACATGTCCAGAGTAGTTCTGTGCAGGAAGTCCCAGCTGGTAGAAAGCAAGTGATGTTTCTGCTTGTGTAGCACCTGTTTTTGATTTCAGAGGGGAAACAAAAAAATTACTTCAGTGGGTGGTGACATTAAGTACAACTGCTGCCTGGCAGAAAGTATGTTATCTCCCCTTTACCCAGGTGAAAGCATTTCTACCTTGAATCATGGATAGGATCAGAGCTCCAGCTCTATCTTACCAGAGGAAGAAACAGAAAGGGATGCATTCCCCAAACCTTTCCTGCAGTTATGAAATAAAGTTCAATAAGCTTGTCATTTTTATTATGCAGAGGAAGATGGGGAAAACCAGAAGGACATTTCTGATGGAGCTGGCAAGAAGAAAAGGTTTCAGAGTAGAAAGTGAGCTAAGGTAGGAAAATGTTTATATGCACAGAAATAGCATGTAGTAATGCCGCATGAAGCATTCTAATTTAATAAATGCAGTCATACAAGTGCCTGTGGTTGAAGTTTTTGCTTTTGTATTTCGTGGATATACTTTGCTCTTCCCACTATAAAAATGCTTTAGGATTTCAGTGGGTGTTCCTAAATCATGGTTCATTTTTATTGTTTTCTGGGCAGAGAGCAGGCAGAATACAAACATTAGCAAAATTTCTAATTTTTTATCTCTTAAATGTGTGGTTCTAATTTATCTTAAGTCTGTCAATTTTAATGTGTTTGCATTTTTCAGTGTGCTGCTTCTCATGTGGAAAATAAAAAATGTAAGGTGTGGACTTGCAAATGATTTTCATGGGGTATGTTTTTATGTGTTTGTATAGTCTCACTGGAATCAGTGAATTGTGTCTTTACATGACTTAAATCAGCCATCCTTTACTTCCCCCTTGAAGTCAGGTTAAGATTAATCTAAACTTAATGGCCAATTCCTGAAATAAAAAAAACTTGAATATACAGGAATGGAAAATGTGATGGGTTGAGGCGGGTATTTCTCTAGAACATCTCTGTTATTCTACTATTTAATCTTCCTTCGAGTGAGATACTGATCTGAGTCTCAAAGTTATTGGCTTATGCTTTGGTACAATCTGGAAGAGCACTGGAGAAAAACCCTAGGAATAAAATAACACAGATGTGGCATTTCAGGGTGAAAATATACTCCAGCTGCAGATTTGTCTAGTGTTATTTCAACAAGCCAACTAATTTTGAAGGAAACCTTTCTCCAAATAGTGTTTTTCATGAGTGCTAATTACATCATTATGCAGTTTTCCGAAAGCTACATCATTATGTAGGTTCTTTGAAAAGCTGGAAGAAAATCAAGTATTGATCATTTCTCTGTATCTGTATGCAGATAGGATACAACTGGGTTCTCCTTGTAAAAGCTCATTTCCACAGATTTTTCAATCCCATCAACTTTGAAAGCCTGAGGAAGAAGGGAGGATGAAATAATTTGTAAAGCAAGATTCAAGCAGGTATTGAACAGAAGTGGGCAATTAGTGTCTGATAAAAAACTAATTGAATTCTTGGGGAAAAAAAAAATGAACTCAGCTTTTCTGAATCCTACATCAATAATCCATTGAGGACTGAGTAGAGGCTTTATCTGGGCTGCTTACACACTCAGGTATTTATTGCCAATATTTCAGTCTTTCTCTAAGTTGTATGCAATGCAGGTGTTATGTTTAATTCCAGTTTAGCTGCTACTGGATAAAACAGAACTCTTTAGCTGTTGATTTTTGTTTTTGAAAATGCCAGAGGAAATGCTAAATTTATTAGGTTCTGTGTCAAGAAAAAAGCACAGCTGTACAGGTACCAGAGGAAACTGGTGTGCAGCAACTAAACTGCTGCTATGAGCATAGCTATGGCAAAGTTCCCAGATCTGCAGCTTGATATAAATACATTACATATGAATATTTTATATAAAGTGAAATAAACCACAGGAAGCAGAAGTTCTATGTCTGTAACTGATTTTTTTTTTTTTTTTTTTAACTCAAGTAAAGATGTGAGAGTTTAATTAAAGTAGAACCTAGCGGGGTTAAATAATAATAAAACCAATAGTATTTCATGGAGATTCACCTAACCTACCTTTTTAATCTTAAGATTAAAATAAATTGGGATTTTTTTTAATGGACTGCTGTACAAGTTGCACAATGTGGAGAGAAAAAAATTGTGCTATACCATGACAGCTTTCATATTTCTAAAGTATAGCACATTCAATACATTTTTTATTTCTCCAAAATATAGTACATTTAATACATTAGAGAGTTATGTGGTAACAGTTTTCTATGGGGTGAATCCAGTATTTGTAATTGCGATTTGGTGATTTAATGATATTGGTGATTTTTGGTATGAATCAGGGTCACAGGGGTAGGCCAAGGGGTTTTGTTCGACTCCTAGATAGTAGTTTGCTTTGGAAGGTTTGCAGTCTGCCTTTAACAGGGAGCACACATCATTTTTAAAGTCCATACTAACCAGCTGTCTCTACCAGTGGTGCCCTGTTTGACTGGACAGGTTCATGGCTTAACTTCTCCAGGTGTTACAGAAGGGTTGAAAAGCAACCTGTCAGATCCGTTTGAAATTTACTGTATGTGTACAGGGCTGTCACAGGCATGAGCTAGCAGAAGGCTATGGAGGCTTGCAGATGGAGGGGGCTGCCACCAGGATTTATGTTCGAGTTCTAGACTTATTTCTAGAAAAACTAAGTCAAATTACTATGCTGTTTGTGCCTTTCCCTTAGGAAGTTTAGGGATCTGGCGTATATTTCAGATACTGAGGTCCTACCAGTTTCATGAAAATGAAGAGTTTCCTCCTTTATCTGTTGTTGTCTTTGTGGGTGACAGAACCCTCCTGAGGTGTATGTGGAAGGGGAACACTGGGAATCACTCAAAGTTTCCTACCAAGTTAGTAGCTTTCTAAACTTGCTGAGGAACATCAGCAGGACAGGTAGAAATTTACAGATCATCCTGAGTATGTATATAAATTTTTCTTGAAATTAACTTTGTCCCTGTCCATTATTTTCCTGTGGAAGATGCAGGACCATGTCTTTTTAATAATAAATAATTGTGGGATGCTTTCCAATGTTATTCATCAACCGAAATTTAGTGTAAAACCCCTAGTGCTACCATATTTTTAATCAGTGTACAGCATTTAATCTATTGAAAAATAACTCAGTGTGCACGTTTTATATTCATTAAACTATCAATTTTGTAAGAGACTGGCTTCTTAGTAGCAAGGAATTTGTCTTTAAATGGAATGCATAATTCACAAGATTCAAGTCATGAACATTTGACAATGCTACATGTAAAGAGCTTAATGTAAGTACAGAAAACTTAAATTTACAAAAATATATTACTAGCTGTGAAGCTTTAAAGAATTATTGTTAACAGACTTTTTAATATTGTACAGCTTTCATTCATTGATCAGGAATATTGTGAAGGGGCTGTTAGGTATTGTAAAGCGGCCTTTTCCTTATGGTACTGCTTGTGCAAGCCAAGTATCTTCACAATTGCAAAAAAATGTGTAATAGGGTAGCATCTCACAGAAGGCAAATGATGCTGAAAGAAAGAAAATGCTGCACTTACAGGAGCTGTCAGGCTAAAGTCTTTCCTCAAAGCAGATTCAGTGACTGGAATAGATACATTTTGATATGAAAATGCAACTGCTTCCCACATCCTAACGTATAACATATACTTCAGTTTTCAGGAAGCGCATGGTAAATAAATATGGAAATAGAAGCTCAGCATTGTGTACAGTTGTGTTCAGTAAAAAAAGAAAACTTCTTTTTCTGTATTTCTTGACAGTGACTCTGTCACTCATATTGTGGCCGAGAACAGCTCTCACCTGGAGGTGCTGGACTGGCTGAGAGGACAGACGGTGGGCGACAGCTCCAAGTTTGAACTGCTGGATATCTCCTGGTTCACAGCCTGCATGGAAGCGGGAAGACCAGTTGATTTAGAAATGAAGTATCGTCTCACGGTAAGATCCTTCAGTGTGAATACAGTGACATTCAAAATGAATGACTTGGTTTGATTGTTTTTATATTTTTTTGCCTAAAACTAAAAACTTGTGCTGTGATATGATTTTTTAATTTAAAAACTTTAGAGAAAAAAGTTTAGGTGATTCATACAATTTTACTAGGTTAAAAAGACCTTCCATGCCTTCTATATCAGTATCTGGTAATGCTAAGTTACTATGCCATTACATGCATTTCATGTTACAACTGCTAATATAAATTATATCTTTCCTGTAAAAAAAAAAAAAAAAAAAAAAAGTGCTATTAAAGGGAAAATATCCATCCATGGCACTTTCTGTTGTTGTGGCACTTGTGGTATTTCCACAAATTCTTCAACATCATGGTGACTGTCCCACTGAGAGCAGTGCATTTTAATGGGCTCCTGATGGAATACTTTGCCTCTTCAAAACAATACAAAAATATTAAAACATTTGCCATTTGGAATTGATTAGTTGACTTCTGGGCCCTTGATGGGCCTGTGAAATGAAGACTACTGCAATCTGTGGACATACATTTACAAACTTGGCACCATCGACTAAAACTATGGTAAAAAAAAAAGGATTTTATTATATTATGTCTCAATGGGAGCTATAAATCAGAGGATATTGTGAATGGCAGGCTGATTATTTGGTGAATGGTGTTTGACCTTGAAGCAATGGATGATGACATATTTTTTCTCTGATCTATATCTGACAAAATTATGTGCTAATTTTTCAAATTGGAGACTAGTGTGAAATGGTGGTGTTTAATACCCGCAGTGTTGACTGTAAATGATGGAGTGGTAGGGATGCCTGGGATTGCTGGGCACAGTACACGCTGCTTGGCCACGAAACAGACCCTGCATGGTGGCAGGGTGGACCTAGTCCCTTTTTCTGCACACACTCAAGCTTTATGGTGATGGATTGAGCGTGCACTGGTGAAGAAATTAATTCGTATGTCAAGAGAATTACAAGTCTGATCTAAAGCTGTCTGAAGTGAGGGATTCCTGCTGATTTCTGAAGGTCTGGGTTAGGCTCAGTATGAACTATAACCTCACTGCAAAATATTAACTGGGAAATTCGTAAACACTGGGACCATGGCAGGATCCACAGTGTGTACCTTCCTGTGAGGCAGAGGATGCCTGAATATTTAGCAGCAATATTACACTGTTTGCTGCTTCTTCATCCTGATGTTTAGATTATGAAGGATGAATCATAAATACCCCAAGAAAAACTGTAGCTCCTGATTAATTTTTTCAGTCATCTTTCATTGCCAGAAACGATTTTCCAGGATTTTACATATAAGAATTACTGTTTAATAACACTTTGGGGGTGGGGAGGAGCAAATACACCAGATGGAGCTGTCTCTCCCAGACTCAGCATAATTCCATGACAAAATATGTGCTTATATTTGCAGTCCTTCCAATGAAGTATTTTTGCAGTATATTTATAACATTTTCAGTGAATCTCCTGGAGGGTGAATAGACCAAAGAAATTAATGCAAAACAGAAAAAACCAGAAAACCTTGCAACTACTGCATTATAGAATCTCACAGGCAAACAGATTATAAAAATAGAAATAGTGGTAATGGAGAAGTTCTGTAAACAAGAAATAAATCCAAAATGTGTGCAAAAATCCTGTGAAGTTTGAGAGTTTTGCAACAGGATTAAAAGTAAACCAAATTACCATTTATGCTGCGTGAAGATCTATAGATTCAGATACCTCAGTATCTTTTCATAGATGTGTTCTGGTATTTTTTAAAGCAAGAAATGCCTTTGTCTTTCCCCAAAATGTCTCCAATGATGCTGAAACTTGCTTTTTTTTTTTTTTTTTTTTTTTTTTTTTTTTTTTTTTTTTTTTTTTTTTTTTTAAATTGATGAGAAGGCCACTGTAACTTTAACTGCTTTAGTTTTCTTTTACATATAAAAGTCCTTTTAGAATACTACTGGAGCAGAAACTTCTGAAAAAGGTAACAGAACTTTCAGGAGATCATTATTATACTTTGAGACTGATTCTGCAAGTAAGAGCTTCTGTTTTTATTGAAACATAAAAATTTAATGCTAATAAGTGTAGAGTGCAATAAGCAAGCCAGTGACAGCTGTACTGTTAACTTTAAAGCTTATAGTTAAGACCAGTCTTAATTATATAGTGGCTCTAAAGTAATAAACATTTTTGTAATCAAACAAACAAGGAAGAAAAAGGATTCTAGAAGTTTAGTGAATTTAAAATAATTTTATTGTTGCAGTGTCACTGTGATTTTTTTTTTTATTTTTTTTTTTTTTTCCTGCCTTGAAAAATGAGGAAAGATTTAAGTAAAGGTTAATTTTCTTTTTAAGTACTAGACTGAACTCGTATGTAATGCAATTTAACTGGAGTTTCACTGAAGACAAATTTGGTCCATTATGTCAGTCTTGTGAAATGAATTAACAAGCCTTGAACTCAGGCTACATCATGAAGGCTTTGAGGTAAAATGGATTGCAGTGAAGGAGTGTTTTGTGTGAGATCTCACCTACATATAGGTTAGTGGTAAAATTCCCATTAATATAAATAGCAGTAAGATTTAATCTTTCAGATATTACAGTAGCCTATTTGGAAGGTTGTTCTTCATTCAGGATATTTGTTTCAATACGTTACTAAAAGAAATGTCCTTCTTTGTGCAAAACAAGAGGAATAAAGTCAGAGTCACAGATCATTAGCTAACATATTAATTACAGTTGTCACTAAAGTACATCTTTCTGTGGTTGCGAATGATCGGAGAGATGCTCTGCTGTTAGTGATTTATAGAGTAGAAAAGGTTGGGTGACCAGATCTAAAATGGTCTGAAATCTTATTGATTCATTCAGTAATAGTTGACTTTTATAGTTAATAGCCATCATTTAATTTAATAGGCTATGTAAGTGTGGTAGCCAAACATCTGCCTTAAAGGGAAATCAGAATATTTCTCTGGCAATGGAATCCTTTGTCCAGAGACATCTTTCTCACCACAAGCAGATGGGCATTCTGGACAATAACAGGACATGGACATTAATATGTATGCAGGGGTGTCCCCACATGCTAGAAAGTAGTGCTGTTTCCTGGGTAATGGAAAAGAAAGAGGCAGAGAAGAAGCTGTCAGAGGGATAAAAGGAAAGGAAAAGAACCATAGGTGGGATGACGTCCTCAGCAGCCTTAGGAACTACATTCTTCTGCCTTTTCCTCAGTCAGAACCCAAAATTTTTTAGTTATTTTTTTTAGAAAGAAGAGATTTATTGCCTTGAACAATGGATTTCCTTCCACATTAATGAAAGGAAGTACTGCATCTTTTGATCCCTTGCCATACCACGTGACAGGCAACTCATATTTAATGTTTTCTGGTGTGTCTCACTGTTGCCTTGTGAAAAAGAGAGGCTCTAACTAATGGAAGAAATCCTTCATACTGACGGTCAAAGTTTCCCAGAAAAAAAAAAATTAAACATATAAACTGGCTGCCTTCTCTTCATAAAATGCTGGATATCAGCAGACTTTATTATTTGATCAATGCTGTCTGGACTTTACAAAGCTTCTGAATTTTGAATAATGTGGCCTGACATAGTCTCTTGTATCTGTGCACCTTATTCACTGCTGCTCCATTTTTTCTTTCTCTTTGTTATTTCCCTATGTCATTATACTTCTTTGTTTGTGTATTAAAAAAAAATAGTTTGACAAAGAGCAAGATTAATTCTGCAACTAAGCCTCTCTATGGTACAAACTGATGCTACTGGTACAGGCTGATTTTCCTGCTGATGACATGTGGAAAATGTCATTGTGAAGGAGTGGCAGTGACACATTCACTGTTACCGCAGCCTGGATGTGGGGTACAAACTGACTAGCTCCAGCAATTAAGTAGCCTACGCATTTGGATATTTTACAGTGGTTGCCCCTGTGCAGTGTACCATAATTTTGTTTTAATGTAGTAGAGTTAAAAAAAATGATTTTTTTCTGATATCTGTAGTTGTTCTTCCCAGTGCTACAAATTATTTTGAGGTAGTGTGAGTTTCCAGGATTGCTTGTTCTATACTGTAATTGCTACCGGATGAAATTTTAGGTTTGTTCCATAATCTGTACAAATGCTTTTATCCCACCTGGTCTTCCTACAGAAAAACAGTATCAATCCTACTCTTACATTCTGATGATGATAGGAGATCATCTCTGTAGTTGTCATGCAGCCATCACAATATTCTCTAAAAATCAGAGTATAGAAATCACTGTTTACTGTTGAATTCTAGCTGAAGTTTCTTCTGTTCTTATATATAATCAAGTTCTGTTAATTAAAAGCATAACTATTACTGATTAAGAAAAATGCTTAAATATCTTTGCTAAGACAAGAACGGGATGTTTACGTGCCAGTCTATCATCCTCTTAAACACATAGAATTTCTGCTTTACTTTTGCTCTCATCCACAATGCCAGGTAATGCTATGTGTAGGGCTCTTGTTCTTTGTGTCTATGTCCTAATGAAGATAATAGCTTATTATATATTCTATTCAGTACCGTTCTGTTTGTTCACAGTCTTTGCAGCTAGCACTATCATTTCAAGCAGTATATTAGCAGTAATCAATCATAGTTTATATGATTTAAAATCAATTTTAAAGTATAATTCATGAATGTGTGCAAAAGTGCATGAGTTGTGCTGTTGATCCTGGCTGAAACGCACTTCAGTTATTCCCAAGAGTGGTCTTACACATAAAATAGCTTCCTTCCTTTCAGTGTATACTATGAAAACTGCCATATAATTCACTGGTCCTTCAGGTTTGCAAGAAAATGCCTTTTTTGTGTTCATGAATACTGTTATTTAACTACTCTGTATCAAATACAAAGGCAATTTAGCATGAAATTATATGTGGGGGGTGTGTTTGAAGGCACATATACATATTTATAGCTTTGCCTGGCACAGATCAGATGCTAGCTTTATGTCTGCATGCCTTTGGATATAGGGGAGAAAGGGCTCATCATTCTATTATTGGGGTGAAAATTTCCTCCATGTATCTTTGTGATATTTTTTGTTGTTATTGAACCATTTCTCTGTGGCTTTTGGATAGTCCAATGCAATACTTTTTTGACAGATCTGCCAAATGTTTTCAGACAAGATGACAAATAGCAAAAAATATACAGAAATGCTGAGAACACTTTGGGTGTTTCCAAAGTATTTCAGATTTGGGTATTTTTAATGAAAGCAAAGGAATTAAAGGACTGGGCATATAAGGCAGCAGAAAAGCTGGTGCTAGATTCTTTTTCCAGTTGCTTACTGGTCAGTATGCTCACATGTTGAGAACTCATGCTCAGGACTCTCTTTTGTTAACAGGGACATGACTGTGTATCCTGCCTTTAAGGATAATTCCCTTCCCACCCTACTGGGGTGGGTTGCCCATAGACTTTTTTGTTGATCTTGGTTGATTTTTGCATGGAGCAAAATTGGGTGAAAAGTGAATAAGCATGTAGGTAGGCTGATGCTTAGGAAACTCCCATTTAAGAACGGGCACCTAGCTGCTTTTCCTTGTTCCAATGATCACCTAAAAATTATGTCTGAATTGAATCAGCATGTATGGGAGGGGCTGAGTGAGAAACCACATCATAATGTGAACAATAGGTGTTGGATGAAAGGATGGACATGACTCTTCTGTGGCTGTTTGTAAATGTTTCCTTTGATTTATAATGACCACAGTATATAACATTTCACTTAATGAACTAAATCCAAACCAAAAATTTTTTTTTTCATTTTATCTGGAAAAGAGGGGGGGAGGAAGTTTATTTTAAAGTCGTACAAACATTTTCCCTCCACCACTGAATTTATTTACAGATTGAAAAAGTCGATTATTTGAACATCTCTAATATTTTTTTTTTCCCCTCCTTGGTCTAATATTCCTGATCTTATATTGAATCATCTGGTGTTTTCTGGGAAAATTTTCTGTTCTTTTAGGCTTATCCGCTCTTCAAGTGTTGTGGTTTAACCCCAGCCAGAAACTAATCCCCACACAGCTGCTTGCTCACTCCCTCCCAGTGGGATGGGGGAGAGAATCAGAACAGTAAAAGTGATAAAACTTGTGGGTTGAGATAAAAACAGTTTAATAGGTAAAGTAAAAGCAGCACATGCAAGCAAAGCAAAACAAGGAATTCATTCATCACTTCCCATCATCAGCAAGGTATTCAGCCATCTCCAAGAAAGCAGGGCTCCATCACATCTAATGGGTACTTGGGAAGACAAGCTCCATTGCTCTGAACATCAACCCCTTCATCCTTCTTTCCCCAGTTGTATGTGTTTTTATTTTTTTTTTTTTTGTGGGGTTTTTTGTTTGTTTTTGTTCTTGTTGTTGTTTTTTTTTTTCTTTAATGACCAGAGCACATTGTCATATGGTATGGAATATCCCTTTGGTCAGTTAGGGTCAGCTGTTCCAGATGTATCCCCTCAGAACTTCTTGTGTACCTCAACCTACTAAATGGTGGGGTGGTTTCAGAGGCAGAAAAATCTCGTGTAAGTACTGCTCAGTGAAAACAAAACCATAGCCCCATACCATCTAAAATCCAAAACATAGCCCCATACCGGCTACTATGAAGAAAATTAACTCTATCCCAGCCAAAACCAGCACATAAAGATTCATGGGTTTTCAATCTTACTGCAATAATAAGGGTAGTAGAAAGGCTTGTCATGTAGAGAGACTTTTTTTTTTTTTTTTAATGACAGTGTCATTGAAAACTCCCTGAAAGAATGTACTGCAGAAAATGGAAAATCCCAGTGATCACCAGATAAACTGGTATTGTCAGTGCAGCCAATGTGAAATTAAATGTTTTTCATAAGAAGATGGTACAAACCTTGTTATTCTCTTACCTCTTCTTTAAAGGTACATATTTTGGGCTCATGAAATGTATTTTTGGTATTTTAAGCTATTTGACAGGTGTGTCACCAACCTTTCTCCTTTTTTTTTTTTTTTTCTTGTTAGGAACAAGATCAATCTCCTCCTTTGAATATACCTGAATCAGAAGTGCCATCATTTATTGCAAGTAAAGTATCTCAGTATTCGTGTGAAAGGAAGACAACTTTAAATAACTACAACAAGAAATTCACGGTAATACTTTTTCTATCCATGAAAAAAACCCTAGCATAAGTAAAATAATACAGTACTTACATTAGTATTTTCTATGGCATCATCAGCATATTAATGAGTTAAACAGGCAGCACAGTGATAACAATTCAAAAAGTTATAAATCTGCCATACTTAAATTAAAATCGAGTGTAAGCTTAATTGCATCCTTTTAAGTATTGCTGAAAGCTTAACACAGTGGATCTTTAAATACACTAATAGCTTGTAAACACATGAATTTTTAAAAGAAATGATAGAATAACATTCTGAAAATGTTTTTTAGCCTTTCATCACAGTCTTATTTGACAAGTTGGAAATAATGATAAGCAAAAGTTTGGTTTAGGTCAATCCAAGGTACTTCATGATTGCTGTGCTGCCTTCTCTTTTGCCTAGGTGTTTGGTTCTTCAAAGGGTGGTTGTAAGCTGCAGATTTTCACAATTGCTTAGTTATGAAAACAGATTGTGTGATCAATGTAATTACTTTAACATGATGGGAAAAAAACCCTTGAATTGTCTAGTTAAATAGAAATCCTAGAGACTGTCATAAGCTCATAATATTATACCATTCAGTAGGTATGAAGAACCTGAGTCATCTGGTCTAAATTCCTCTTAAGTTATTGTGCCTAATGTGCCCTTCTGGGCTGGCTCTAGATACTCAGTGACAACTATTCAGTAGGAAACATTTGACACAGAGAGTCTAATGTAGTATAGTCTGAATAAATCTGGCATAGTTATGTTCATCTGTTTCAACTCTAACATGAAACACCTCCTCATCTTCCTAAAGTTTTATTATTTATTTTGTTATTATTTATAGGTTTTTATGCTTTCACTTTGTGTTTGTGTCTATAAATATACACAAATCTTTCAAGTAAATATTATTTGTAAGGTTCATATTAAAAGAATAACAACAGATACCAGTAATTCAAGAATAAAAAACATTTACAAGGTAAATAGTAAAACCACTGGGAATTCGAAACTAAAGATAAACCTAAGAGCAACTCTGAAATGTCTTGATCTGGGAATCCACAGTCAAAAATGAAATAACCTGAATTTTGCCTTGTAATGATGCTTTGAAATAATTATATCTATTATATAATAGTGTTTATTGTACTTCAGTAGGTTAAACTGTTTATTTAAAAAATTTTCCCTTTTTGAGCAACCTGATGGGAATTGGGTTTTGACCCAGCTTTGAGTCTGAGGTTGGACTAGAGACCTCCCGAGGTCCCTTCGAACGCCAATGATTCCAACATTCCCAAAACTGCTTCTTCTGAAATGACTACCATGCCACACCTCCTGATAGAAAACAAGGCTGTGAATATTATCATTTAACCTCTTGAAAGCAGTCATTCTTTTTCACTGTTTAAAAATATCAAATACATGCTGCTGTAGGAGATGTCAGACCAAATATGGTATGACCTAAAGATTCTGTAAAATACTGGTCTTCTTGGAGAAATAGGAAGTAAATGCCTTAGTTCAACACTTCCTAAAACAATGAAATGTGGGAGTCTGGCTCTTTTTTGAATTTTCTGTATTAGAACATTTTGTCAGTCATTCTGATGGTAAAAAGTTAAAAGTAATTGTGATGGATAATGGCATAGTACAATGGCTACTCCTAGAAGGCACGAAGTTGTTGTTGATTTTTAATTATCATTAACATTTAGATCACAAAAAGGTCTGGAATGAGGTATTTCCCTATTTAATGATACCTTTAAAAATTAATTTTAATTTTTGACAAATCTATTATCTTCATTTGTAAATACATAGAGTATTTTTCCATTTTCAAAGACTGAGTACTATAAGTCTAGTGAATATATAGTTCATCTTCTAGTTGCTGAATTCCTGAATTTAGTCCAAGATTCAGTTAAAATGAAAGCTATGCTAGCAGCAACATATTCGAGTGGTTTCTGTTATACCTGTGTTTCACAGAGAGGAAGTCGCTAAATTACTTCAAAGTTTATCATTGCAGCAGTCTTAATGTCAGAGTACAACTTGTATTTGATAAATGAATTTAGCTGAACACATCAGAAGCAGGGCAGTTTGACTGAAGCACTGAGACTCCCTTCTGTTATCCTATATATCAAACACTTCTGAGTCTGGGTAGAAATTAGGTTTCATGGTGACAAAAGTGGCAGCTATTCATCCTTGTACTTTGAGAGTAACTGTTCTGAGTTCATGCTGTATTTTATTTCTGGAGGTGGTACTGAACAAGTTGATAATTTGTATGAGTCTGTAGCATCTGCATCTTGACAGTTAAAACGTGATGTGTTGACCCTGGCTGGATGCCAGGTGCCCACCAAGCTGCTCTATCACTCCATTACTCAGCAGGACAGCAGGGACAGGGGGACAAAATAAAATGGGAAAAAAAAAACATGGGTCAAGATAAAGGCAGGTTAAAAAGCAAAGGCCGTGCATGGAAGCAAAGGAAAACCAAATATTTATTCTCTACTTCCCATCAGCAGGCGATGTCCAGCCACTTCCTGGGAAGCAGGGCTTCAGTACGTGTAGTAGTTGCTCTGGAATACAAACATCATAATAACCAATGCTCTCCCTGCCCTCCTCCTTTCTCTTAGCTTTTATTACTGAGCAGATGTCATATGGTATGGAATATCCCTTTGGTCAGTTTGGATCACCTGTCCTGGCTATGTCCCCTCCCAAGATCTTGCCCACCCATCCTGCTGGTGAGGGGAGAATGTTGGAGAGACAGCCTTGATGCTGGGCCAGCACTGCTCAGCAGCAGCCAAAACACTGGTGTGTTACCACCACCTTTCTAGCTACCAGTACAAAGCAAAGCGCTATGAGAGCTGCTGTGGGGAAAATTAACTCCATCTCAGCCAGACCAAATACATAATGTAACAGCCTTGGGACAGTTGTTCATTTGCCTCACAACCAAAACTTGCAATGACAGCTGAAGACTTGGGTGTTTATGGACTGCAAGAGCTGGCCCACTCCCTGGAGGCTTGCCAGTTAGTCTGCCTAATGTCACAGGAGTCTGATTTTCAGTTTTGCTGTTTTGTCAGTCTTGCATTAAACCTGTAATTCACATTCTCAAATAAAAGTGTTCCAACAGATTTTTTCAGTGTGAGCACTTAGCAAATGCACTGAAGCACTGGTATAATTCACTTGTGCATGCTGTGTGCAGTCAACCATTAAATGACAGCTTTTCCCTGGCTCAACGCTGTACATCCTGAAAATTAGGTCCAAACCATCTTGAATTATGTGTTGATGATAGCATTTTGTAATAACAACTTTATTCTGTGAGCCAGTGTTGTTCCTTTTTCTTACAGATTATCTGTTTTCTTTGGTTAGCTTGAAAATAATGTCTTTTGATCTTGCCTCTAACAGGGGCACAAAGCTATTATTTGCTTATGCATTCTTGGATGAACTCATGGATTCTTCCTTTTACTGGACTTTGCCCTGATACACTGTATCAAATTCCTCTTTGAAATGGGTACTAGCTGTGTTTGAGAAAGAGTAGTAGTTACGTTTGACATCTTTCATTCTCTTCAAAAGAGCAAGAAAACAGTCACTAACAGGCAGTGATGTGCATACAATGGGGCTTTGAATGTGCTGGTTCAGACACTTTTGGAGAATATTTCTGGAGAAATTGGTAATTAGTGATCAGTTTTTAATCGAGTCATATTCTGTATATATTTTACCATGAAAGACCACTTATTAAAACGAAATAGCAGAGATATTTGATCAGAGCTCATGAGGACAATGTGGTAGTTTAACACACTAGATGCAATTTCTATGTTCAACTGTCCCATGTTTCCTTTCTATTGTAATAGCCATAAAATAGCTTACAGAAACATGCACCAAACCAGTTTTACATCATGGAAGAAGCTACAGAAGGGTTGACAGAGACTGTGCAGATGTGACGGTTTAACAACTATGATCAATATAGGGTAAATCCTACCCAAAATTAAGCTTTTTATAAGCTGTTGAGTAGTAGCAAGGCCTGCTCTGTGAAGAGTAGACCAAGTATGTCAAATTGCATGCCAGGGAGGAGACAGTGGCATTGTGTGGCAGTTCATGGAGGAGAAATGCAACTGCTTCAGACTTGTGAGACCTCATGCAGTCTTTGGGTCACTGTGTGTCACGTACTGTGGCCTCATGGTACACAGGTTTGTAGCCACTTCCACAGGATTTACTGATTTGGATGATTCAGGATGCACCTGAATGCATAGCCCTCACCCTACAGGTAAACTGTAGCTGTTCAGATGGGTAAAGATGTAAAACAGAAATGCAAAACGTTTCACCAGAGACTGTACCTTAGCATGTTTCCTTTATATTTTTTTAAACATTAATGTTGTTATGGAATATAATATTATGATATTGTTTGCTGGCTCATTTGTAAATAGCTAGCCACCTTCCCCCTCTCCCACTGAAAATATACACTTGGGGGCTGCATTGTGTTTTCATGTGCTAAAATAAAAGGAGTTATTCTTCTGTGCCCGAGAGGGGTGGTTGGATTTGAATATTAATACCAGACTGCAATAAAATTCAGAAAGACACTCTTCTGTGAGGAAAATACAATTTAATTCTTACAGAAGAAACTAATTAAGTCAGAAGCAAATGGTTCTGTGATTCTGATGCTTATTGCTAATGCTACTGAATGTTACTCTGCTTTGGCTGTTACTCATGGTAATGAGAATGTGGATGTTTAGCATGGGAAAGATGCCTGGTTTCCTTTCCACTCTGTTAGAGAGAAAAAAAAAAAAATCCCTTTTTTATTTTGTCGTCTTTTTTTACCTACAAAATCATGTATCAGTTATGCCAGTGGCTCAAGCATTTATTATGATTCCATTTTAAAACAGACCTCAGGAGAACCTCAACTTTAATTTTATAATGAACTTGGGAGCTCTATAGGTAGAAAAACACTAACTGAATATATACGCTTAATAACATGCACTGTCTTACTGACATAGCTTACTTCAGTAAAAATTCTCAAGACAGTACATCAAAATTGGAAATTTTGCAAATTT